TCCTGCCGTATATTACGCCATGGCTATCCGTCTGGCTTCGTGTATGCCCGCAGGCGAGGCCGAAGAAAAAATCTCACGACGGCGGTACGCGACCAATCGCTTATAACAAAAGCGAATGCAGCAGACACCCTTCCAGGCGGCAGATGCGCCTCGCGTCAGCCAATTTGGGATCAGATCTTCCTTCCCACGCGGCGGTGCGTTACACATCGCCACGCCTACCTTACGCTCTGCGCAGCATGCCGTGTAAGACTGCACGAAACGGTGACAGGCATTCCCGGGGCAGGCAACCCTCTCCTACTCGACCAACCAGCCCCGGGGGATGCCCCGCCTTGCGGGAAACAAACGGTGAGGAGGCTGCGCCGCAGAGGACAGGAGAAGAGCCCGTTCGGCCTGCTTCCCGTGCTCTGCTCCCCTGTGCCCTTGCCGCAAACCGGGAGCACGCCCTCCTGATGCCATGTCGGTAGGTGAAGATCGGTCTCCCTGCATGACAGCCGAAGAGCAGCCTCGTTTTTAGCAGCCTAATCATCAGTCGATCTTGGAATCCAGGCCTGGCAGGAACCTTGGTGATGACTCTCGCGGACGAGTCAGCCCAGGCGGCTCGTCCGCTCCAACACCAACAAGAACAGGAATCAGACAAGACAAGAGTCTGTCCACCGGCGATGGCGTCTGCATGGGTTGGCCCATGTTTCACTGCCATCGCATAGACCTCGACGTTGCAGGCTCATGAGAGGCACAGTGATGAGCCCACGGGCACCGATTGGGCTGACTGAATCTCGGTCAATGTTGGCATTCACTCGGGGCATTTCACTCGGGGTTTGACCCATGAGATGCTGATGAGAATTCGTGTTGGAGCCAGCATACTGGTCTGATACTTTCGTCGCGCATAATAGCGCATATGACAACGGGTTGGATGCCCAACATCCAACCAACCAAAAATGGTCATCGCCATGACCTGATCCGCCCGCCGCGCCCTTTCGCTATTCCTTCCATCCCATTCAAAGACGGCCGACCATGCAGTCCATCACTTTAAAAGACCGTTCGTGATCCAGCCGCATGATAGTAGTACACCCAGTTTGCCAAGACTCCGTAGATCGTTTACCCGTTGTGCCATCAAAAGTCCACATACGCGCGCTATCACAAATCAGAGGAAACAAGAGAAAGTGCAAACCCACCGGGACGTTGTCTCGCTGCTGCTGCCCCCTCACCTCACTTTTTATGTCACCATCCCCAGACCATCCCGTAAACCTCCGCTGCTGCTACTACTGCAATGCTACCTCCGTGACGTGGGATAATAGGTCGTCGTTGTCACCGGGGGCTGGCTTTCGTTGGGGTCTTCGTGCTTTACGTTTAACTGATGCCTGACGAGCTGGTCCTTCCTCGCGAACCCCTCTTTGTTCGGACACCCTGGCAGATTGCACCTGTGAGGTTTGGAGTGCTTTTGCAGGTGTTGTCTGCATGCCAGTCAGCGATGATACTTCGAGTTGTGACGGACTCCGCCATACCTGAACATGCAGTTGCGTGTGAAATACCGCGGGCCTCCGTCCTCCTTCTTGCCCCCTTTCTGGCACGAACGCCATTCCGGGCAGATGTAGTGGCCCTTGCCCCTGTGCTTCAGCTGCTCCATGTCGATCTTGTCTGCGCGCGCAACCTCGTCGTCCATCGAGAGCCCGTCGTGCATGCCCGACATCTCGTAGTCGTCGCCGTCGTAGTCATCATCGTACCCTGGCGAGCCGGGGGTGAGCGACCGCCTGTCGCTTCGGGCGTGTTCGCTGCGTGTGGTGTCCCCGCGGGCGAGAGACGTCCCGACGGACGACTGTGATGCGGTCGCGGAGAACGGCCCCGTCGAGAACCCCGAGACGCCTGTGGAGATGGAGACGGACGACCTGGAGCAGGATTCTGGGGCCACGGGCTGCCGCGTGGGCTCGGGGTGAGCGTGTTCCTCGGCTTGCACCAGAATGTCTCGTATCTCCCGCTGGGCCTTGAGCACGGTTTCGCTGATTTGCCTGCCAAAAGTGTCAGTGTTGGGAAACCCATCCAAACGGATCCTCCAACCCACCTGAGTGTCTTGCGCTGCTTCGTTGCTACCTCGAGGATGCCCATTCCCTGCTTTCTTTCGCACAGCGCCTGATCCACCAGGTTGTAGCCCGTCGACTGCAGGTTCTGCTCGTCCGTGAGCAGCGCGATAAACTCTGCCACGCGGGCAAAGGCATGCACCGAGGCCTTGCCGTAGTATGCCAGGACGGTCTCATCTTCGTTTCTGTGTGGGATATCCCCCGGGTGCAGCTGGCAGGCTCTCTTGTATTGTCGAAAAGCTTCAGTCTCGGGGTCCAGTGGCTGGTCTGTCTGGAGCAGCGAGCGGATGTCGAGGGCCGCCATGGTGTATGAGAGTCCTGGGGAAACAAGACAGCATGCGAGTTCCCGGCGAACAGCTCAAGGTGGCGACCGCCGAGGTTATCAAAGCTCCTTCCACAACGGTCAAGTGCGAGGAAGCCAAGCTCAGACTGTGGCCTGTGTGGGTGTCAAGACCGTTGGAACGACGGATCAAGAAACAGTCGAGGAACGCCAAGTGGGTCGGGTCGAGATGGGAAAGCAAACGACGGGATGCGATTCAGGTTTGGGCGCACCAACAGCGAGAGGAACAGCAAATTGACGAGAGCGGAGGAGAACGCCGGTTTGGAAAAAAGGACTCAGTCCAAGGTCCAAGTCACAATTCAGCAAAAGAGTTGTAGGATTGCGGGCAGGGGGAGATGGACGGCGATTGATGGGGAGGCGGGTGGAGAGCGGGCCAAGTCAAGCGTTACGGGAAAAGAGGAAAGAGATAATCAGGTAATGATGGCGAGAGGTCAACCGTGACCAGAGCGCGCGCGGGGGGGAGGGGAGAGCGGCGAACACCCACAAGCTCGACGTCTTGCCCACCGGGTGGAATGGATGGGGGCGAAGACAGCGGCAACGGCAGCGAGAGATTGAACGGCGCGTGGTCGAGCCGGACGCGAGGGGGCAGCATGAGGGCGGAGTTGGAGCTGCGACTGCGAGGGAACGACTTGGGGAGGAGTGTCTGGTGTGCGAGGAGTCTCTGAGGTGAGTCGTGGGCGAAAGTCCCTTGCCTCCCACTACGCCCGTAATGCCCGTATTGACCCGTTTGGCCAGGCCAAGATGAGGGGGACAGGCATGACGACCAGTGAAGAGCGGGTTAATGCTCTGCTGCTGCTGCGTGTCTGGGACAGATCAGGCTCGGGGCCAATGACCAGATGGCTGCTGGCTTCGCATGTCCGGTAAGCAGGCAGGGCAGCAGTCAAGCCAGGTAGCAGGCAGATGGATGGCGATGGCGACGGCGGACAGAGAGCGGGCGCGCGCGCGCTGGCGTCCCAACATAGGTCAGGTACCTGACTTGATGCTACCTGGTAGGTGTAAGCAGCGATTGACAAAAGAGGGAACGGGGGTGTGACAAGAAGAAGCAAGCATGCGGCTGGCGACAGGGCAGATGTGGTCCAGAACATGGGCCATACGATGGAAGATGGGGGGAGCGGGCAAGCAAGGCGGCCTTGTCGTGGGGCAGAGGTAGCCTTGGAACACTGCGAAGTTGGAGCCCGTCACATTTGGCCGCGGTCCGTTGGTCCCACAGCTGTTGGTAGCATGGCATTGTGGTCAACATGTGTGGTACTTTGTCGGATCCGCAGTACGGATAAGGCATCACGTATTTGCAGTGCTGCGAGTCGAGGAATCGACGACGGACGTTGTTTGCTGCTTGTTCCAACTTGTCGACACTGACACTGACACTGCCCGCCCGCCGGGAACCCTAGGATCGGGAAATAGGCGGTGTCGGTGACGGCGGGATGGCGCTATCTGGGCGACATCCGGGCGTGGGCGTTGTGGAATGAAGCATGCAGCGAATGCATGGGTCTGGACGAGGAGGAGAAGGAGGCGGCAGGCTAGACAGGGTAAGACATTGTGGCGGGCGGGGGTTGCTGTTGGAGGTGTGTTGGTGTGTTGGTGCCAGGTTCGTTGGTGCTATCGGCAGGCGTTGTTGGTAGACTTGGTTCCAGTGGTCGCTATCCGTCGTGTATTGCGTAGCAGATGGTTGCTATCGCTGGTGGTGTTGGTGTTGGTGGTGTTGGACTGGACATCGATGACATGCGAGACAAGGGTACCCGTCCAGGGCCCATCCTGTCCACCTCCTCCTTCACATGAACGGCCAGTTGAGGCTTTCTTCTTTGAGATATGCGAGATTGGGGATGAAGAAAGCTGAGGGGTACGGTGGTGATGATGCGCGTCGACACCTTCTTGGAAGCTCGATGCGAGACAAGGCCAAGGCTCACCAACGGCTGGCTCACCGAATTGCTTCTGGATGGATTGATGAGGTGTGTTGGTGGCAGAAAGCTGGAACTTTGGGCGAGACGGACGCATGGCCACCCCGGCACACCGGTATCCTGGTATCAGTGGAGGCAATCAAAATGGCAGGCTGGGTTGGGCTGTTTGCTCCTCACTCCTCTCGCTGCTGCCGCTCTTCTCCCGCTTCCGCCGGCCCCGGATGTTGGTGGTTGATAAATATCCCTGCGCCAGCCCGCGAGGAAAAAGAAATGTTGACTCGTTAGATGTAGAAAAGAAGGCAATGCGTGGAGGAGAGGAGGAAGGAGGGAGGAGGAAGAGCATGGGCCAGCGGGCCAACGAGAGCAGAGCAACAGGGCAGCTGGGTGACATTCAAGGGTCAGGCCGGCCGGGGTCAGCACCGCACCTCATGGTGAGCCAGGACCAGGTTCTGTTCTATTCGGACACAGACCGGGGTTGGCGGATAGGTAGGCAGGGTGCAGGCGGCAGGCATCTGAGCCTCGCCCTCGAGCCCTCGCCGCCATCTCGAGCTCTTTGGGCCAGGTGCAGCAGCAGCAGCAGCAGCAGCAGCAGCGCAGCAGACGAGCTGGTTCGATTACCAGTGTCTGAGAAAGCTGCGGGCGGCTCTGAATCGGGAATGGCAAGCTGTAGAGCTGTTCAAGGGACAGGGAGACATGCTGAGGGTTTTTGAGACTGCAGCGAGTGCGTGAGTGATCGACTACACACACCTCCTCCTCAGGCAGGGCAGCTTAGATATGCACGACTTTTCACTTGTGTCTCGTCCAACATTCCTCTTTCTCCTGCTGTTCCCTCCTTTTTTTTTTTCTGCCCGCTCGGCTTGCTGCCCTCTCCTCACTCGCCCCCTCCCCGCTGCCCAAGGCACCCTACGTTCCTGCTCCTCCTTTGCGTCTGCCCTCTGCTCTCCGAGCTCTGGCCAGCTGCCCTGATAGCTAACCTTTGGTGTTTCGGTTTCTGTCTCTGTCGCTTGTCTCGTCGCTGCTTTGTCCGGCATTGCACGTCCAGCGACAACTTGGGCCACAAATAACCGACAGGGCAGGAGATGTCGAATTAAGCTCACACCCCGTCCCGTCGACTTTGAGTTCGGCCTGGCGTGACATCCGCAGCCAGCATCAAGCCAGCATCAAGCCGTCCCGTCCGCGAAGCACGCACGCAACGTGTCGCATCTCGCCACTGGGCCAGTGAACGATCGCAGACTACGAATACCTACGTGCGATAGGACAGGACCACTTTCACCCGAAGTCGCAGTCTCCTCCGTCAGGTCCCTCCTTTCTCTTTCCTTCTCCCGTCTCGCTCCAGGGTCGGGTGGAGGAGGAGGAGGAACCTACCCTACCTTGCCTGGGGTCCCGTCGCCGCGTGTTGCCTCCCCCCACCGGCGGTAGAGCGGTAGCGGTAGCGGTACCGGTACCGTAGCCGCTGCGCTGCGGATCAGTACCCACGGCCCTTTCTTCCACCGTTGTTCATCGCTTCTACCAAGGCCGTATTCATCCACTGCCCTGACCTCGGGTTACTCGACGTCCATTTTCTCCCAGGAACAGCAACTTCACACACCTCTCGCTTGCTTCCTTCCGCATCTCTCCATCGGTCTCTCGGGCCTCAATCTTGGGTCGGCCACAGTGTCAGGTATCGAGGCACCCGCCGGCAGAGGAGCATCGGCGCTGCAACTAGACTTGCGTTCGCCTCCACCTCATTACGTCTGCACCGCACCCTCGCCCTCGATCGTGCCGTGTCAGCAGCATCCAAGACAGTGCGTGACTGGAGCTGCCTCCTTGCATATCCATCAGTCTCACTCTCTCTTTTCTCAACAAGCGAGGTAAGGACACCAGTCTGTGGGTGGCCTGGCCATCCCACTGGACCACCCCGCCCTTCCTTCATTCCTTTGCCCATCATCATGCCCTACGGAGGGGAGGGGATCCCTCTTCCTTAGTCTTCATTTCTCCTCACCGGTCATGTAGCTAAAAGATCGCGTCACAGTTGCAGCCGCGCTCAGGCACCCAACGCACGGCAGGACGAGACAGGGCGCCCTATCCTATTGCCTCACGTCCCTCGTCTTCCAGTCCAGTGTCTCTCTGCTCTTCTCGCCTCGCTGGGTGTGCGTCTACTACACCACTACAACTTGGTACACTACATTCCGGCATCCGTGCCTAGGTCTCTCTCTCCGCGCGCTACTGGGCGCTCGCTACCTCGCTGTCCCGTGCGGGCAAGACCACCACCGCCGTCCCATCACAACTCAGACAGAACCAGTGCCGTCCGATGAGCGGGAAGGTCCCATTGGCTTGAACTCTATTCTGCGGCCGCCAGCCAGATCAAGCAAGACATCACCGAGCGACATCAGGTCATTTGACAGGTTGCGTCTGCCCTTGTCTTGCCTCCTGTCTCTTGCTTGTCTCCTGCCCAAGGCTTGTCAGCATCAAATCCCCTCAATCTGCATCTCGCACACGAGACATACATGCTCGACGACTCCTCGCATCCTCACATAGACAGCTTTCCTTACATCACACGCTGCACGGAGGTTTCCCCGACTCGCGCACGCCCTGGCAACACCTGCCAAGACGAGACGAGACCGCAGAGAGAGAGATATCCAGGGTGTCGCGCTTCCCGCGGCCGTCAGCTCCATCCTCGTCTCCATCCTCATCTGCGAGGTGAAATCTTAATCAGAGACCAGCCTCAACGGCGGACAGTAGCGAGTCCTCCGTCCGTGCCTTGCCCTGAGCCTACGTCTGGCCTTACGGACGGATACCATTCTATTCATACACAACGTCCAAGACCCTTTGCCTGACGTCCAGTCCACGCCTCGTGCCGTCGTACCTGCTCTTGCTCTTATTGCCTCTACAGGGAGGGCGGGCTCGGCCAGAGTGGACCACCGCTAAATTAGGGCCCCGGCGTTTCGGTCCCGGCCTGTTCGGTGCCCTCAGTGCCCCGTTGCCTTGCCTCGAGGTCCTCTGCGCTTATCCACAACCGCTGTCACTGTCACGCTCGGGGAGCTGTCATCTCTACGCCGTCCGCACCCTTTGCAACGCTAATTGGGGTGACCGTCTGACCCGCCAGCGGCCGACGCTCGTCGCCAGCACACTGGGGATAGAGGATACTTTGTATGAGAGCACAGAGCCGCGTACGGATACCTCGACAATCAGCCGTGGGTGCCGTTGCCGGAGCCGGCCGTTGTCGTCCTGGCCTGGTTCTGGCATTTGTTTGCTGGCCCTACCGAACGCCCTGGCTCGTGTTAGCGAGACCAGCGCCGGGGGGAACACGGCACGCCTGCTGTTCTCTCTTCGGCTCCATCCCATCTTTCCTCACTGGGCCGCACCTGCACGACGCTAAGCGCTCTGTCGTTGCGGGCTCCGCCTCAAGTGTCTCCTCCTGCGTTCCCCCATTAGTCCTCCCTGGCCTCCCCACACGCCGAGTGCGAGCTCTCCACTCACCATTCAAACACGCCGCGATCCCAGCACCCCCGACCCGGGCGTTGTCCTCCTCTTTTCTGGAGACACTCGTCCTCCTGGACATCCAGTCTCCCGATTCCGGGACCCGTCCCGGTGCTGGAGCTGGTGCTTCATCCGACCTAGTCTAGGTTTTGGTCCGTCTATTAGGACATGGCCAGCAGTTTTGCCATCACGAACAGGCCTCGCAAGAGAGCCCGCGAGGTCGATCCGCCATGTTCTAGCTTGGCCTCTCCCCCGTCGTCTGACCCGTCCACGTCGCCTCCCAACTCTGCGACGCTGCTGGCTAGTGCGGAGACGAGCTACCAGACGAGTCATACTCACAGCAACCTTCAATCGCCCCCCGCAGAAGTCGCCCAGCACGAACCATCGAACCCGCCTGCTCGGAGACGTCGTTTGTGTAATAATCTACGATTTGAAAGGAGCCACCCGTCGGCGCAGTCCTTGTCCCGTAAGCTACCGTCTGACCCCTGCGATGCTCCCTGTCCCGCGAGAGGCACAGCAGGGAAGCAAGAGGGAAAGGGGGAAACAAGCAGTTGAGTTGAACAACGGACTGACAAGAAACAGGACTCGCTGAGGGGCCTCTGCACGGCCCGAAACCGCCATCATCACGTTATGAGCTCATCGTCACGCCCCAGCTTCCGCGGGAATGCCCTCTTGAGCTGAACTTTTCTAGTCCGTTTGAGGATCACGTAGAGACGAGGCAGCTCGAAGGGCTCAACTATGTGAGACTCGAAAAGGGCATCGTCAATGGCTACATCAAGCTCGGCGCGCCCCGGCTTGCCGCGGGCCACGAGGGCGACGACAACCGTCAGAAGAGCCCGCACAACAAACTGACCGTGTGGTTGAGGGCCCACCAGTACCCAGATCAATGGTTCGAAGAGCTTCATCCGACCGACCAGAGGTTCTTTGGCTTTTGTGAGTTCAGCACCATGCGCATTTGTGAGCACCGCTGATTCCGCAGACATTGTCGCCTGGTGCTCTGGCCGGACAGTGCTCCGGAGGACCAACACTTGGCTGGTGGACATTGCGCAGATGGCTTACAAGGACAACTGCGTCAAGCATGCGCTGCTCGCGCTCGCCGGCACCTACGTCTTTGACTACCGGCCGCTGCAAAAGTACAAAGACATGGCCGAGTATCACTACAAGAGGGCGGTGATACTGCTGAGCCTGCAGCTCGGTGCCGCTCGCAACGACAGCCTGAGCGACGGTGACATGGAGGCCGTCCTCGCCGCCATCGCCCTGTTGAACATGAACGATGTCGTCTGCAGCGAGCACTGGCGCCTCCAGAAGCGGGTCCCCCGCTGGCTGGACGGCGCCCGCCTCTCCTGCCAGCTGCTGGACACGTCGGACCCGGGCCACCGCTACCGGGATCCCGTCAACATCCAGCCGTCGGACGCCCGCGTGGGCAACGCCATCCTCGCCAGCAGGGCCGCCATCTTCGCGCTCCCGATGATGCCGCTCATGCTCGAGAACACCAAAGACAAGCAGTTCGTCTGGCTGCTCCAGGGATCCGAGCTGAACACGAGCAGGATCCACGGCGGATGCGGCATGTCCCCGTCGCTACTCTACCAGTTCGCCCAGATCACCCACCTGGCCGCCCTCACCCACCTGGACCCCGTCGACAGCTCCTTCTTCGCCGGGCCCATGGCTCTGCGGATGCTCCACGACCTCCTGGGCCTCTCCCAGTGGTACGAGTTTGAGCGGGCGACGGGCGTGACCAAGGTCAAGGTGGACGTCGACACCATCGCCGGCCTGCTGCGCTCCGGCCACCTCGACGCCCACGGCGCCATCAACTCCAAGGAGGGCATGACGGCCTCGACCGCGGAGGCGTGGCGCTTCGCCGCCATCATCTACCTGCAGTGCCGCCTCCTGAGGCTGCCCCGCAACCACCCGGACGTGCTATGTCAAGCCGCCAACCTGGCGGCGACCATCCGTGTCATGCCCACGTCGGGCTACATGTTCACCGCGCAAGCGCCCTTCTTCCCCGTATTCCTGCTGGGCGTCGTAGCAGTAGAAGAGGAGCACAGCAAGTGTGCCCTCGACTGGTTCGAATCGGTGACCGAGACAAAGTGCCGCTCGGTAAGTGCCGTGCCATCCATCCATCCCGTGACCTAATGCCCGGCCAGGCTGACCCATCTTTCGTAGAGCGTCCCGCCCGCGTACGAAGCTTTGAAAAAGACGCGCGAGTGGATGGCGTCCAACGTCCACGACGCGCCGCTGCCCATCCCGGACCGCATCGTGGATCGCCACGGCTGGTGGGAAGACGTCGTAGATCATGTAAGCAAGACCTCGGGGACGCTGTGCTTGGTCTAGTCATGAATATAGATTTGCAGCCGAGGCGCAGTCACCACATGGATGTGCATTTAGATTCGAGGCGTTCGTTCTCCTGGGTGTATCATGAAAGAGGCATACTAAGCAGATCATGAGGGATACCATCCTTACTCATACTAGGGAAAGAGGCATATACCATTCCATCTCGCATGGGAAGGACCATTAGATACCATTCTGTCGCTTACTGGGTTGGACCATGAGAGGCGTTCACCGTTCTGTCTCGTATTGGATGGACCATGGGTTCATTAACATATATTACGTTGTATTGCTGTTGTCGCCGCTGTCTGTTTTCAGCGGGAGATTTCCGTTGGGTATACTAAAGGTGCGTACCAGCGTGTCCCCCTTGCTGGCCACCGTCTAAGCCACATTGAGACAGAAGAGAATAGACCCAGAAACCGTCAACCTGCCCCGCCCGTGTTGCCTGTTGCCTTGTTGCCCTGCCTCGCAGCACTAAACACCGCTGACGCTGATGGCGCTATCATCACTGTCAGACGACTGCTCGGCGCCCGTGTCCAGGCGGATGAGGTACTGGCGCATCTCGGAGCCCTCAATCGCCCACGACTTGACAATCTCCAGCCCGGCCGCCGCGCACATCTCCCTGACCATCCACTGCGGGCGCTTGTGCGCGTCGAACCAGTCGAGCTCTGTGCCCTGCTGCAGGACCAGCCCCGCGTCGCCCCCCGTGGCGGCCGCCGAGACGGCAAGGTCGCGGTTCGCCTTGAGGAAGAAGCGGTGCCGCCCTTCGTCCTCCTCAATCTCGCCGCAAATCTCCCAGTCGTGCGCCTTGAAGACAGCATCGCCGAGGAGCGCGTTGGCCCGCTCGAGGCCCTTGTGGAAGAACGTCTCAAAGAGGTCCGGGTGGGCGTGGTAGGCGTCCCAGACCTTGGGGGAGGTAACGTCGTGGCCGTCCATGCCGGCGAGGATGAGGTCGTCGGGGCGCATGATGGCGGACCACTCGCGGAGGGAGGCGACGGCCTTGGCCCAGGGGTCGTTGAAGAGGACGGAGCCGAGCGACAGGAAGACGCGCGGGACGTCGGCGGGCAGGGCGTCGCTGTAGTCCAGGCCGGCCGCGAAGTCGCCCCAGAGGCCTGCCATCCTGACGCTGCCGCCAGCGTGGGCGGGCGAGAGGAGGTCGAGGTTGGACCGCAGCGACCGC